AATTTTGAGGTTGTAACTTTTAAACGCAATGGTGTTAAAGTTTTAAATGCCAATGTTTGTGAAGTCAGACGATTTTAATATTAGCAGCTGCAACTCTTACAAAAGTGTGAACACACTGAAATAACATATGTTTTGTAAATTTTCATATATTTATAGACTTTCCTTTAATTTCATTTATTATTTTATATGCTCCCTTTTCAGATTTCATTCGTTGTATCATTTCATTAAATAATGGTTAATTATTAATAATGATCATCACGTTCATGGATTCTTTATAAGTTACAGCAATTTGACACCATCAGGGACTGACGAAGAAAACCATTGACCATTGGTAGTTCGACCTTAATTGTTCAAATCCTGCCGAAAGGGCTGCTTCCGTGGTATTTTTCGTGTCCCCCCCCCGCATGTACAACGTCGAGTTACTTTTACGAAATCATCCGCAGAGGCAGCTGTCAGGCAAATAGCGCTTGCATGCTTTGCTGGATCTGTCCTATAGCATTTTATTTATATTGTTCATTTTATTTAATTGCAATGTTTTAAGCCGCGTTTATTAGGCTTTCTGTGCTTTTTATTTTTCAAATTTCGAATGCATGTAGGTGTTCTCCACGTCTTAGACATTTTGTGTCATAAAATGCTTAATCGCTACCTAACAATCGCTCCATTTAATCAAGAAATATTTATATTAAATTGAAAATGCAAGTATCTACTAATATTCGTCGAATTAAGAGTTATATAAGTCAAAAGCTAGCCCTTGCGAATCGAAGTCAAGACAGAAGACACTTCGGGAATTCGTATATAGTCCATCTGTTTCTTGCATCGCAAAATTGGGTTATTAACAAAATAAGTTTATAAATAGATAGAAAATAGATATACAATACATAAAAAAGAAGAAAAGAAAAATTGAAGGTGGTAGAGGGTGAAAATCCGTCAGGCTGGGCAGGAAATCTGACAACCCTAAGCGGCACTATTGGTGAGAGGACAAAGCTCCGGTGACCTTGGACACTCCCCTCGAATCCTCCCTCACGAAGCCCTCCTCGCATCATGCGCGGCAAGTCGTCTGTCTGGTCACGTGATGGAAAACGACGCCTTTTCTCTGTGTCGCTCACAATTGTCCGCTACGCTATTGTAGCCCTGTTTTCCTACTTTCGGGAGGGTAAGGAGGAAATTTTAGGGAATTTTTTGCCTGATGCAATTTAAGCTTTTTTTACAGCATTCCCAAACATCATTTTTTTTGCCTAGAAATTCCAAATACTTTTGATAATTTTCTCGCCTTTTTTTTTTTTTTTTTTTAATAAAAGGTGGCATTTATTTGCTGTTCTTTTGGATGGAATTCCCTCCTCCTTCGACATATTTTATAACTCATTATTAATTCCTACCTAAAAATATAATAAGTAATGTCAGGTTTTAAATACGAAAAATATTTCGATTTATAAACAAACGAAATGTTATATTTTAGTCGAAATGTATTTGAAAAGTCCAACAATGCGTTCAGTCTTTTACTGTTTTAATTAAATATATTACTTATAATTAAGAAGCCTTACTAATGGGAAAAGGATTATAACTCCTCTCTCGATCCGGATTCCATTCGTGGCGAATGGCTTGGCTGCAGGGTGTTTTTGTGTTTCTCCTCAAGTGTAACATGAATGTGATTCATTTTCCAGCAGAAAGTCCTCCACGAATGACTTGTCGAAAAGGTCTTCGTGGAGCACTTTCTAAGGGAAACTGGGTAAGTTTGAACTTATTACATAACACACACAAACAATTAAAAGTTATGGTATAAGAAAGTAGAACAAATGTGAAACTCGGTCCTTTTTTTTACTTTTAATTAGTGGGCTATTTATTAATAAGAAACTACTTACACATTTGAAATTGTGAAGCCCTGCTCCCGAAAATGTGATCAAAAATAAAAAAAATTCCTCGGAAAAAAAAAAAAAAAAAAAAGACTTAGCGAAGCAGAAAATAAAGGAACTACATGTATTTACTAATTCTTTGTTAATTATTTGATTAATTATAGATATAATAACCAATATTTCCAGCTTTTTATTGTCAATTTGTTTACTTTTCGTACTTTAGATGAATTTAAAGAAATCTGACGTTGTTCGGTTTTCAATAACTTTTGTTGAATTCTTTGGCACGTTTTAGAAGATACCTGTGTTTATCTATAATTCCAGTCGGATCCATGTTCTCTAATCATTCTGTAAAATAATGGACAGAAGAAAGTCGGATTTATCGTGATGTGGGCTCTTTGATAATATAATATAATAAATGATCTTGCTGTCCAAAACATCTCGTTCACTAACCGTGCCGATGACGTAGAGTAGTCTGGACAAGTGGCAGAAAGGTCAAAGCTTAGAGGAGCGGGGGGGGGGGTTGACCATGCATCACAGATGAGACAGAAACAAAAAGACAGAAAGCGAACAATGGAGAGGCCAAAAGGTGAATCTACCAGCTGATGTAATGTGTTGCAAGGGTAAAGTGAGAATTTGAAGTGAAAATTCAAACTTGAAAATTAATGCATAAGCATAAGTAAAAATACAAAATAAGAAAACTTGTAAATACGTAAGATACGGGAGAATACATAAAAACTAAGTGAACAGTACATGTACAACGTGCAATCAAATAATAAGGGAGCAGATATGTTGAGAACTTATGATTAATTTATTGCTTATAAATGTCACATTACATATCAACCACATTGCCGTCCGCTAATATTCCATTTACTACGTTAATGACCTGTGTGGCCTGGCAGAACCTAATTCACGGGGAATAAGATAACTCATGCGGCTACATGACTAAGAAGTCAGCTACATAACTAAGAAGAGAAAATCACATAAATGCAAAGTTAATATTTGTCCAACATAAAATTAACTAACTGCAAGAGAAATATTTCTATTCTTTCCCCTTCAAATATTATACAGGTCTTGAAAAATGCAGAAGTAATTTTAAAAAATCCCGCTTCTAAAATGTTGAAAGGCTAATTCTAAATTCTATTCCATCTCATACATTTGGAGCTTTAGCGATACTGTACTGATGACCTTTCATATGTTTGCAAGCGTGACACATATATTTATGACGCTTCGCATGCATAAGTTGCATAAGTTGGGAAATGAAGAATTTAAATAAGAGTCTGAAACTGTATAATCGATGAAAAACAATTATGAAATTTTCTTACCTAATATAATAATTTACTTTTTATTAAAAAGCGGATTCTTAACTACCTCTAGTGACATGGAGGTTAACAAAATGAGATATTTGAGCAATCAAGTTTGAATTTCAATATTAATTCTATAAAAAGAATAAAACATTTATTGTTATCAATATATTAAAAAAGAATGAAACGAATTATATTCTACTTTTATTGTAATTGTGTAAGCATTATAATTTGAACACCAGGCTGTTATTAATTTAATTTTAGAAAATTTTTGCTTTAGCTAGACCAAGCAAATTTATAAAAGCATAAACCCCCTCATTTATTAAAGAATCTGAAATTATTCTTCACATCTGTGTAATGTTGCTCGTAATGCTCAGAAACTAGCAAGCAATCCTTATATTGAATAGTGTTGAATATTGGTAACAATAGAACTCACGCAATATTTGGTAACAATTTAAACAATGTTGGCATAATATATTTGATTTATATTTAATCCTTTCTATTTCTTTAGGAAAAAATTTTAAAAAAATAGAGATTCTAGTCTTAGATTTATTTTATTTGCATAAAATAGTCCATTCATTCAAAAGAAAAGTCATTCCTTTATTTCCTCAAGCGCCAATCAGAGCGTGAATTTAGATCTCGAATTATTTCTTTTGAAATGCGCAGATATTGAAATAACTTTGCTTTCACTTTCTGATTATATTTTAATTTGATTTATGCCTGATAACAGGCCATTAACGTTATGTATTACTATTGGATAACTATAGTACAAAATTAAAATATCTATAATAGAAACAGCCATGAAAAAAGCAAAATGATGAATATTTACTACTTTTTTAAACTCCCCCCCCCTTTTGTCAGTTTTTTAAAAATTTGATTTAAACTTTGAGGTCGAAATTTTTTTAAACGAGATGCGAATTTCTTTAAACGAGGGTGTGCCGTACCAGACATTCGCCCCTTTTAGTCCCCAAGAAATATTCAAAGTCTCTAAGTACGCCGACCCAACTATTGGTTCGGCAGAAGCAGCTGTTCACCAATAAAAACAAGGTTTCAGAGGCTGGGTTACCTAAATTGGCAGAGTTATTGCTACTTTCATTCTCCCGGTATGAGTGACTTCAAGATGCGCAGAGAAACAACAAATATAATTCTAGCACATTTAATTTAGATATAATTAAAAAATTACTAATTATAATTAATAAGTATTAATAATTTTGTGTGTCTGTGTATTTGTGAATAAGTGCATATTAGGCTCAGAACTGACTGGAAGGAAATAATTTTTAACGTACATATCCTTTTATTTATTGAAATTATTGCTCGTTTATGAATTTTTTATTATTGTTCTCTTCTTTTTCTTTATTTTTTAAACTGTGATAGGATTCAACTTTGGTTAATTAATTTAAAAGGAACCAAACAATTCTTTTTCTTTAAATTTATTTATTTATTTCTTCCTTTCTTTTCTTTTTAAATTTTTTTTATTGGCTTTATTGTTTTTTTTTATTGGTTTTTAATTTTTAAAAAATGGATGGACCGTCTTAACGTTTCCTGAAAGCATTAAATAAAGATCGATTTACCCGATTTTTTATGACTTTTATGATGCTACGATAGATGGATATTAATAAAAAAATTTATCTCCAAGTGACGGATAAACATTTCTTTTCTAATCATATTGTAAGAAAATATGTTTTGAAAAGTAATTACAAAAATTCTGAGGAATTTAAATATCTTATCACATGCACTGTTAGAGAAACAGAAATTTGGATAGCGAAAACATGAATCGGATTTATTTTGGCGACTTCGTTTGGCGAAACTCAGGTATTGTAAACCTCGTCCGGAAACGGGGGAAAATTGGGAAGAACAACAACGAAATTATTATCGTGGCTGTGTGGTTTTTCTGACACTGAGGGCTGCGGTGATATTGTAAAAATGGACAAGTTATTTGGATCTTTGAAGAATTTCTTGAAAATAAACGCTGTTGTCATTGACAATAATGTATTCCGACTTCATTATAGGTTCACTGTCCTCGTTTTACTAGCGTTCAGCATCCTCGTGACGTCACGTCAGTATATTGGAGATCCTATCGACTGCATATCCAGAGATGATATTCCGAGTAAACTTTTAGATTCCTTTTGCTGGATCCATTCAACATTCAGCGTTGAAAGTGCCTGGCATAAAAAAGTTGGTGTAGAAGTTCCGTACCCTGGAGTAGATAAATATACACCGGAAGAAAAGCGAGTTTATCATGCATATTACCAGTGGGTATGTTTTGTGCTTTTCCTGCAAGCCATGTTGTTTTATATACCCAGATATCTATGGAAAATGTGGGAAGGTGGCCGAGTACGTGCTCTTATATTAGGTCTCAATTCCCCAATCATGAGCTATGAGAAGAAAGAAGAAAATAGAAAAATACTAGTCGAATATTTAACCGAAAACATGGGAAATCATACTCTGTATGCAGCTGAGTATTTCATTTGCGAAGTCCTTAATTTCGTCAATGTTGTGGGACAAATGTACCTAATGGACAAATTTCTTGGTGGAGAATTTTCGTCATACGGTCATAAAGTTCTTCAGTTTACAGAGTGGGATTATTCCGTCCGTTATGATCCTATGATTCACGTGTTTCCTCGACTGACCAAGTGTACTTTTCACAGATATGGTTCCTCCGGCGATGTACAGCGTCACGATGCCATGTGCATTTTACCCATCAACATTATAAATGAAAAAATCTATGTGTTCTTGTGGTTCTGGTTCGTGATTCTATCTGTTTTTTCAGCTCTAATTTTGGCTTTCCATGTTGTTATATTTGCATGGCCACAATCTCGCTTCCTGGTATTACGATCACGAGCTCGTCTAACAAGGCCTGATTATTTAGATATTGTTCTGCGAAAATGTTCACATAGTGACTGGTTTGTGCTAGATCTTCTCTGCAAAAATATTGATAGCTTGAACTACCGAGATCTCATTGCTGATTTAGCTCGTAAACTGGAACGAAAAGCGGTGGACATGGCGTAACTCGCTAACCCTAATATGTGGTAGCATTCATAATTTGTGAGAGTCGTACTATGATTTGATTGCATGTTACTTATCATTCTATTCTTTGATTTTATTGCATGTATTTATTATTCTATTCTTTATGATCTCTTTATAATAATGTATGCATTTTTAAAAATTTGACTACTATTCTTAATAATTGCTATGAAATTACATGGCCAAAACTGTGTGTATGTTGTGTAATTCAAGGTCCATGCTCAACGGACCGTGTCTTTGCTCAAAATAGAAAGTTGCAATGTAAGATTTTTATGCAACTTTTCTTAATCTGAGGTGAACCAAGTCTGTAGTATTATTTGTGCATGTTGCATTCCATTTTTTAAACAACCGTACAACCAATTAACTGCCAACTGTATTTTTTTACGACTGTTTTCTTCATAAGTCTGAAGAAATATTGACTTTTAGAAGTATTTTGATATTATATGTATGTATAGCAATAATTAATGTGCCTATGAGGTCAAATTTGACCATAAAATTTTTTATACGGAAATTTTGTTGCACATATGCGTGAAATCGTATTGTGCTTTATTAAGACCGTCATGCAAAGTATTATTGAGGCATTTATATACAAGATGGAGGATAAATCTTTCTAAGTTTTACTGTTGTGAAACTATTTTGTGTTCGTATTAAATCTTTTTTATATAACTAATTTATTTTCAATGAACTACATATTCAGTTTTAAATTTAATATAATATGGTAATCATAGCAACTGATGGTAGACTAAGATATTCTACCCTTAAATACCTTATTGTGTATTTTTAGAAGTGATGTATATTAATTACACTTCGTGTAAATGTGTAATGGTAAATTTCTTTTGACTACTGAGAAATAAATAATTTTTTTATGTATAGTAACAACTAATGTGCCTATAAAAGGTCAAATTAAAATTTTTATATGAGAATTATTTTATTTGAATTTAACAAAGTTTGTGCATTTTGACAATGCGATGCATAACTTTATCACTTGGCTGATAAGTAGCAGCCCCTTCCCCAGTGTTTGTAAAATTTTTTGAAATATATTGAAAAAATATTTGGTAAAATCCTACTTACTATACGGTGCAGCCTTGGCGTGATTTTGGAAATTATCGCCAGCACCAAAAATGATCCAAAGAACGTCTATATACTATACACTATATACTATGTGTGTACATACATAATATATACTATATATATTCTTTGAATGACCTGTTTACTACTCATCGTACATGTCCCGTTTTTACTGCTCATCATAAAGTAGCCAAATCTCGTGTGCAGGATACTAGGATTAAACCAAATATTTTTTTAAGGTTTTCTTAAATGAAATAGAGGTGAATTATAAATTAAATGATATAAGTAATTATTTTAAAAGCATAAGTTTGATTTGAATTCTTAGAAGGTTTTCTTTGCAGTTTTCAAAGTAAAAGATATGCAGACTTTTCTTAAGATGCACTGGAATAAGGTCTAATTCTGGTAAAATAAAAATTTTCTGGCAGCTTTTTTTCCCATATAAATGAAAATTAATGTGTTCGGAATAAATTAGCTTTGTTTATATTTTCATTCAGATTTGACTATGTAAACATGCTATGAAAAATGTGTTAGGTTTATTGAAATAATATTTTTAAATTATAGATTCCTAAAAATATGATTTGTTACCGATGAAAGAAGAAAAGCAAAATGTATAACTTTTAATAATGCTTTAACAGTACAAATGTGTTGTATTTCTACAGTGTGTACAGGAAGTCCATATCTGCCATGAATCCTTGTAATTTATTGTAAATCATGTAATTTTCCAAGGGCATCGTAGGTATCCCTTATGTTAGACGAAGTTTGTCATATTCCTTCTGGCATCAAACCACTGCATCTGCTTATTGGAAATACAGTAGGGTGCAAGATGAGTATGTCACAGACCTTGTTATCGTAAGAAGTAATTTAATTTTGGTTCCTTGACTTAAAACATCTGATAATTTAAGGGTACAAGGACTTATTTGGTCACAATATAGAATTAAGTGAAAAAAAGAAGTTCTTGGAACTTTTCTGCTATAATTTTTAATTTAAATGTTGATTTTTTGTGAGTCATATTTAGGATAGATTGTATTGTCTCTTAAGCAACTTGAAATACAGTGGAAGTTCGATGATGACAAAATTTGAAAGTAGTTTATCTTTCTTAAGAATATAAGCAAATATTTGCATATTGTCCGAAGATGTCTAAATCGCCCCAATCTAATCAAGACTGCCAAATATTTGTTAAGACAGCTAACAAAGTATATAATTTTAGTATCAAAATGAAATTTTATATGCCAAATAAATGAAAAAATCTGCAGAATTATATATCAAATTCTATGTGAAGAAACATTTGTTTCAGTTGGAAGTAGTAGTAAAGCTTTTCTAAATTATTAATTTTTTTTTCATTGTAGTGTAATTTATCATAGGTATTCAGTGAATCGGTCATAGCATTCGTACACTGTCTATAAAATTTTAATTTTCTGTTCCTAAGAGTGGTAATATATAACAAATGAATATTCAGGTGCTGCTAATGTTATCTGAAGCTATCAGCTAATATTTATTTCTTTGATTTATAAGATTACAAGGGTTAGAAACACAAATTAACACAAAGAAACAAAATGTGTAGTATTTTTTAGTTTTTAAAATTAAAATAGTTCTTTTTTTTAACTGTGATGTTTTTTTTTTTTTCCCCCCTTGTAGCAGAAGTGGGTACTATGTAAATATTTGAAAATTAACCTGCGAACACACGCACCAATCTGACGAACACGAAAACACGCGCCGGTTATGTCATACCCGAATAAAAAAATTGTAAATAAAAATTTTCCGAAAAAAATAATCGGTTTTTTAAAAGAAATTAAAATATAAAAAAGTTAATACTTCATTTTAGACAAAACAGGAAACAATAAGGAGAAGAAAAATTTACTTACAATTTTTTTAACATTGTTTACAAAATGAGGTCATATGTTCCATACATATACTTTTGCTACAATTTTCACAAATGAATCTAGTCTATCTTTTTTTTCTTGGAGGCACTCTGTACACCTCTTGTAAGTCATTTTAGGTTTTTTGGAGGGCGGTCCATTGTTAACATATGTTCATCGGTGGTCAGTGTTTGTCCAGAATCAGGGAACCACAGAGATGCTCGTCGTCGTTCATTTTGAGCATTTTCTATTAGCTGCATCCCTAAGGCTTTGAGAAAAGTACTCATCCCGTTCACGAGTGAAATTTTCTCATATTGAATCTACATAAATATTTGTATGTCAACTACATGTTTTAACATATCTTCATCAATAAGCAATAACAAGGACTCTAAAGGTGTTGAGACGTCTTTAGAATACTTTATATTTCCAGGGAGTTTAGTTATAATATTTTTGGCGCCAATTCTAACATTATTCCGGAATTTATTTTTGTTCCGTTTTACTCAATTTTTTCCAACAACTCATTGCTACATTCCAGAATTTCATTTTCTGTTTCTGTATCTGAATCACTACTCTATATGGATGAATCATGATTACTAATTATATTCTTTGTCATCAACAACTTCCTCTTCTTCACTAAATGAATCCTCATGAGAAGAAACTGTTTCAAGGAGATTTTTCAATCTTTTCATCTCTTCATCGTAAGGAATATACGGCGCCATGCTTACAGCTCAAGAAAAACTTATACTAAAAGCTTGAAAACGAGAAATGCGAAGTGACTCGCTGAGAAACGCCAGTACACGCGCGGGTATGACATGCCCGAACAATGCTGGTCCTAAAAAACCGTTGCACTTGCCACCTTAGGAATTTCCCCCATTTAAGTATGTGACCTTGAACTCAGCTACACCAAGTTTCGTCCTTTTATGAAAGAATGGGTGAGAAATATACAAAACGAAAAATGCACATGGGTATGACATACCCGCCACGTGTGCTCGCGGGTTAAATATTGTATGTTATTTATTTTATGATAATTACTCTTGCTTATTCTTTTTTTACCTTCCAGATAAAGTTTAGCTGGTATGTGCATTCATAATATTTTATTTATTGCTTTTAAATCTGCCAACCATAAATGACATTGTTTGGATATCAAAATTGGTAAATCATTAAAATTCTTATTTTTTAAATGCATGCCAGTACCTGAAAAAAAAAAAAAAAAAAAAAAAAAAAAAAACAGTAAACAGGTCATTTTTTTCCCCTAGAAAAAATGTAAGAAACTGCTTTGAAGAAGTATTTGTTTTCTTAAATGATGTTATAAATAGGGCTGCTCCTAGGCTATTGGCTGCCTGAGATCGCCACCCCCAAATTTTAAAAAAAGAGCTAAAAATAGAGTATGAAATAAAAATAAAATTTATTTCATACTCACTGAGTATTTATGTTTGACAAATTGTTTAAAAAGTACTTGCATAGGACAAGTACTTACAATGAATTTAAATTATCAAGTGTAGTATCCTGAGATTCTGGCCACTCCAGATTTTGTCCGCCTGTGTACTTTTACATGCTGCACCCCTGCTAGGAATGGCCCTGGTTATAAATTATGTAAGTATATTAAAATAATGAAATCCTAATGTGGGAAATTTAAAAAATGCAGGGGGTAGGGATATTTTTTTTTTTTTTTTTTTTTTTTTGTGAAATTCAGACTAACTTAGAATAGTAATTTATCATCTTAAAAACCAGTAGGCTTCTTTGGATGAATGTGGATTTTTTTTTTTTTGCTTAACTGCAAAGCTCTTCCAAAATCACTTATATTCAAGGCTTATGCCAACCGCTAGGGTCACACAGGGCGGCAAAATTTTTTTAATTTAGAAAGGATCCATGTGGCAATATATATATTTCTGCCTCTGCATTATTATTCTGAAAAATCACACATACATTAATTTTTTTCTAAATATATATATTTACAAACACATAGAATGTTCAGTAACTGGAAGGTAAATTTGCTTTTTAATGTTTTGTTTATTGCTGTATTATGCACTATCTATTTTTGCAGTTAATTCACACAAATGCATCAGTGCTTTGCTGATAAAAATCAGTATATTGTAGATCTGTCTGAATGTTTTTCATGGATATATCAAGTTTGTGATGTAAATTGATCGAAAAACTGGTTATCATCTTAAAGAAGTTTCACTGTATTTATTAACCTAGATCAGATGCATATTCATATTTTTGTCATTCCAGTATTTATTTTGTAAGATAGCAGGTAAGGATCTCATTCCAAAGCACATCTTTTTTTTATGATGTTTACACAAAGTTAATGCAAGTCGTATTTTTATATTTCCTACTATATGAATAGAATTTTTATACTTACATTTTTTGCCAAAGATAATTAAAAATTTATACAAAATTAATGTGAGTAGGTGTGTTATATTTGTTGTATGAATATAACTTTTGTACTTATTTTTAGTTTTGCCAAAGATAATTGGAAAATTGAGTAGTCAGTTTACAAAGTTCCTCTTCAGTGATATCTTTCATTTTTTGTATGTAGCTGAATCAGTGATGCTGTTTTTAAATAATGAGGCAGCTCTTTGAATATATTAATCAAGAATAATAAACAAAGTCCGTGCATTTAAATTTTGCAGAGATATGAATAATTAATTATATATATTTTTATATTTGTGGTTGACTTTAACACAAAATATTAGATTATCTCTATGCTTTATATTTGTAGTTGTTTGATATACATTTGATTTTACTGGTCAGGATCAAAGGCATTTCGTAAAGGAAGGTAATTACGTCTGTTAAAGCTTAAAATATGTTCTCAAAATTATTGATTAATTTGTAAGACCATTCATTTTGTATTGCTTATTTTTGTCTCCAAGCATTAATTTGCTGGACCAAGATCTTTATTCAGTATTAATTTTTTGTATTTTGTATGTGTGAATGTCAACTTTTTATACATTTTTCATTGTCTGAATAAAGAGATTTTTGGAAAATGTTTTGTGCGTGTATAGTTTTCTAATAGTGAGTCATGATGCTCTACATAGTGTTAGCATTTAAAAAATTATAAAGTTTATTAAGCATATTTTTCTCATACTTGGTATTTGTGTATGATGATGAAGCCATGGTATATAATTTCATTTTTTACGTGTAATGTGGATTTTTAATTAATAGTTTAGAATTTTTTTATTTGAGGTACTGCTGAAAGGTAAATATAAATTTGTTGACAAAATGTGTACAATTGTTATGTAGAAATTCTGAAGAATAGGTAATGAATAAATAACTTAAAAGGTTGATGTAGAAAGAATTGTAGAAAATTAAAGT